ACAGGACTCATTATAATTTATTTTTTGAGCAAAGCCTTGTTTTCTGACCAGATGAATTCAGTCTTGTGGGGAAGAGCTCATAAATAGAACTTATGCACCTAAGGACAAAAATAAAATAAAATAATCCCAGTTCATTACTATTGGTTAAGAAAACAGTAATATTTGATCTGCGAAAGCTTGGCAGTCATAAATTCAGGGGACCTACATTTGAGAAGCAATGGAGTGCAATGGTCAGAGTGTTGGATTTGGTTCTAAGGCACCTTTGGCCATGATTTTAAGGGCTGTGAGTGACTTTAGACCAATCATTGATTCTCAGCCTAACAAACCTCATGATAAAATAATATAAATAAAATTAAAGGATTGGAAAGTAGATATTGGAAAGTAACAGCCCCTTCAAATAATTCCTACCAAGAGCAATAATGTTTGGAAGATTCATGACCTTAATTAATTGCATTTCTGTTCTGAATTTGGTTCAGCAAGCTGGCTCACAAAAAGCATTAAATAATACAAAAACAATATTTTTAAAAGCACAATAAAAGTTATAATAATAACTGAAAGCCATAATAGAAGCTAACTACATAGCACTTTTTAGGGGATAGCTCTCTATCAGCAACAAGACATTTTTATTCCAGACAAAAGAAAGCTTTTCAACAGTCTTTTAAAATCTGATAGATGAACCATGATGGGGAAGGAACTGATTCATGACAGGACAGTCTTTTCCCATTTAATAATCATTGTAATTTTTACTTTCATTTCTATATCACCCAACAGCCAAAGTTCACTGGAAGATTTGCAACTGTTCATAACACAGGGACACACACAATGTGTACATCATTTTTAAAGCATTCAGTCAAGCACTTTTCCTTCCTTCCTTCCTTCCTTCCTTCCTTCCTTCCTTCCTTCCTTCCTTCCTTCCCAGATGCAAATTTCACATCTTTTGCCCACATTTCAGATTAGGAAGGTCAGTGTCACACAGACCTGTGCGAGCAGATCTTTGGACAGCACTGAATAACACAGTTCGTAACCATAAACAAGGCTGCTCGGGAGTTACGAATAGCTAGGGGTACAGGGTGAGATGCGGACTGAGAATCAAAACCTAAATGCAGTTTCTGGAACACCTGTATTCTGCAATAGCCAGAGGTTACCTGTGTTGGAGTAATACAGGCTGTCAGCCAACATGCCACAAAGCCAGAAACAGGAGGCGCCCAGCAAGCAATTACTCTGGCCTTCCTTGGGAGTTCTGCTGATTTTGGGTGTACCATGGGAAAACATGCACATGTAGCATTTCTTCACTGTATATTAATTCATCTCCCCCTCCCCAGCCCATTCTGCTATTTGTTCAATGCTAAATGGTACAAGCCTTTTATGACCTTTGCCTCTGGTTTTGCACAAGTTGTGCAAGCTTCTATGCTCGGCATATTCCCCAGACTTAGCTAACTGTTTGCATCTTTTGTTCATGTTTTTTGGTGAGCTTTGTGTTTATGCACACTTTGTTTTGGGTTTTCCCCCCAAGTGCCTTGGCTGTGCACTTCTTCCAGTAACTTTCCTTCATTCAAACTTCAGGAACATTCTCACTCAAAGAATGGGGTTATTACAAAATTTGATTACTTTTGTAACCCCTCCATCCTCATTTATCCCTACCCGCAGAAATAGCTTAAATGGTCTTCACTTCTAGGGCAAAATGAGGGGTGGGTATTTCATACCTGGACCAAAAGCAATAATATGTACATATACTGAATCTCAAAGTTCTGAATTTCCACTGTTCAGCAGCAAAGACCCCATCTCCTCCCCACTCTGTTTCCTTTGGCATTTACAACTCCTGGATCCTTTCCATATTGAATCCTTTACAGATAAATTTCTTGAAATAGTGCTTCAGAACCTTAGAAAATCTTACCCCTCCAACCATCACTTTTTGTTTTCAATTTAAATAACAGGAAATTGCTAAACAGCCTGGAAATGAAAGCTGTTGATTTTGAATGAACACATTTTTTTAACCTCTCTTGCAAACACGATTTTGCTTCTGTTTTCTCATTGGCGGGATGAATGAAAGATAAATTGGCAGGTGAAGTCATCTGAAGTATTTATTGCTAGCAGGCAATTAAAATAGTGAGAGAATCTTTGCAACAACAACCAAGAGGCCCCTGTGGAGAAGATGCTTATATTAAACATCCAGTCTAAAAAAGGCAAATGAAAGTAACGTTGGTTGTGCTTCTGCAGTGGTACAAGGCAGGACTTTGGCGGTGGAAGCCCCGTCCCCCGCTCAGCAGAATGCTGGACACTGCCAAATATAGCAGGCCGCCTCATCACGCTGGAAAGTCCCAGCGCAAGGGAGAGAGGGCGGACCATGCTGCACCTCTGCCAGCCCAAGAGCCAGGAATACGCCACTTGGCGTTGCTTGGGAGATACCGAGATTTTGTTTAGACATGCCCATCCTCTGTTGCAGGAGGAAGAAAAGGAGCTCCTGTTTAGAACAGGGGTCCTCAAACTTTTTCAATGGGGGGCCAGTTGAAAGGTGCCGGTGCCAGGCGCGGGCCAGTGAGGGGGCAGGGGCGGGGCGCAAGGTGTGCGCCGAGGCGAGGGCGGGGTGCTTGGGCGGGGCAGGGGGGGGGGGCAAGGCGGGGCAGGGGCGGGGCGCACAGGTGAGGGGAGGGGGGGTGCGAGGCAGCGGCTTGTTTGCTTGACAATCGTTTTCTCCAAGCAAGTTCAAAACGATCTCCACACGAACAAACTGCCACCTCCCCGTGCAGGGGGCGAGGCGGGCAGCGGCAGTGGGCGCAGCGCGCAACACGTCCAAAACCTCTGAGGCAGGCCAGATAAGCGGGCATGGCGGGCTGGATCCGGCTGCGGGCCGTAGTTTGAGGACCCATGGTTCAGAAGTTACCAAGAAGGGTCACCAGCAGCTTGACACACTCTTGATCCTTGCGCTCGCTCTCTCTCTGGGCTTCTCTACATGACACATTGAACTCTGTGCTTTTCTGATGCTGCTGCTTCTGTTTTCTTTGTGGGAGGAAGAATATCCATTTATATAAGGTTTATAGATAAAACCTTACTAACATGCCCACTAACCCCTGAGGAACACTGCATGTGGCCTGCAGCATTGAAAGGGCTGTGCCTCCGCATTGCAGGGGCCTGGGATGGGGTACAGTCCCACAGACGCGTGTGCTTCCACGGTGCCCCCACCACACACACACATTTTTCATGAGCTGGCATACAAGCCGATGAGCAAGAGAGGCACTCTTTTCAAGGCCTCCTGTGAGCCAGAAGGAAGTGGCAGATGCCTGCAGTAAGACCTGGGCTACAGCAGTGGCTGGGGTCTTTCTTTATGGTGGTCGGTCTTCTACTGAAAGGGCTGTCCAGCCCCAGCATAGCTTAGAGCTAAAAGCTAGGCGAACGGAGGGCAGGGCCCCTGACGTTGCGCACCCCAGCTAGCACCTGGATAGCAGACTGAGCAGGGACAAATTTCAGCTGATCCATCGTCCTTGTCTGTGCCAACATTATTGTCATTTTTTATTTTGCTTGCACATATATGAATACACATGTGCACATTCTATGCCACTTGGTGCCTTCTTCCCAGGCAGCGTGTTGCCTCTTTTTTGGCAATGCCTTTCCTCTTCTTCAGTGATATGCAGATGGCCACCCTAATTGGCAGCCTCATCCCAAACGACCAGCTCCTGAGTTAGCCCAGGATAGCTGCAGTTCAGAAAAAACAGTCAAGTGATTATGTTTTCTGGAGAGGGTTAAAGTACATGCACCCAGAATGTGAAACCAAATCTGTAGTGAAGGCTGTGCACTAAAATTAAACAAAATATTTTTAAATGCACAGTGCAGAGAACATTTTGCTTCCCATGCTGGCCTTATGCTGCCTAACCCCACCCCATCTGTTGTAGGATATCAAACATATCAGCTACTCCCATCCTAGGAAAGGGATAGGAGAAATGTATGGGACTCAACAGAGCTACTCCCGAGGCTTAATTTTCTAAGGGTTTGACCTGCCATCCACTAGGTGAAACTTCCCAATTTGGCTTCCATTGATATTTATTTTCTTTCCTTCTCCTTTCTTTACTCTTTTACCTTTTTTTAGTGCAGTGGCTAAAATTATCTCCAGTTTGGTTATTTATAAAGGATGCCTAGCTTCTCTCATTGATTCATTGGTAAAAGTGGTCAGTTTATTTGATCCAAGCTGGAAACAAATCCAAGTAACAGATGGGGTATATATTTCCAGAATGGGGCATCCCACATTTCTCTCATTCTTGTTCCCAGCAACTCTAGGGGCAACTTCAGGTCCAATCTGTAACCACCACATAACTTCCAGAGCTCCATTTAAGTCTCTGCAACTCCCTCTGCCTCCCCCAATTCATCTTGAGAGTCTTGTGTCTCACCATCAAGTCACTGGGGGCTTTTTTCCCATCCATATTACCCCCAAACCTGCTTCTTGTAATGTCTTCTCTCATGAAGGGATCTGGAAATTTCAAACGCTTGCATATCCTTTGTGACTTTACACTAACAGGGATTTTGGAGGGGCTTATGGTCAATGTTGCTGGCATTGTTTTTGTTTCTTCCCAGTCACTGTCCTTCCCTTGTTTTCTACATATGTACAAGATTGCCTCTACCACAAGGAGGACTGGCACCATATTTTTTTCAATTAGACCCAATCATTCAGTTCTGAAACTGCAGCAGGTGCTAACCAGGTCCTGTTGTTACATGCTGAACCAGAGGGTGAACAGAGAAACATAAGAACCCTGCTGGATCAGATCAAAAGGTCCAGTTCAGGGTGGTCATGTGTCCTGCTTTGTTCAGGACAGTCTTCTGAACAACCTTTTGTTTCGAGAGCAGTTGATTACGATAACTTGTGAGCACAGTTCTTCTGATGCCTCTTCTGGTTTGGCTCTTATGAGTAACATTGTAAGTTTGTAGTACATCTGTTGGATTTGGATCTTCACCTTGGAGAAGACAGTTCTCTGAAGGGCTGTCAGAAGACATAAGTCATCCTTTATTTGAAGGGCTCTGCAGTCCAAGTCCGATCCGAAGTTCGGGAATCATTGGAAGGGAGAACTGCAGAAGCCTTCGAGTTGCCCAGCCACAGTCAGCACCAGGACAACAGGTTGAGCAGCAACATGGAATACCTGACCAGAGCCTTCCCACTAAGGTGAAAGGTACTGGATTTCTATTTAAATCTTCAAATGTGTCTCTATAGGTGCAAATTAAACAATGCCTATTGTATGCAAACTTCTGTCTTCTTTTTTAGCATTCCTTGGTCAAAGTGTAAGTGCTTGCCTAGCTGAGTCTAAACGAGATGGCTCTGCACTGCAACAGCGATGCTCTCTAAGACGATGCCCAGCTAGAGAGTTGTGCCAGCTGTGATGGATGCCCCACCTGGCTCAGCAGGAGCATGTCATGGAGCCTTCTGCAGACCACGTGATGTTTGCTCCAGAAGGAGGACTTGCCAAGGACACGTTGCAGTTCCCACTGACACAGTTATGAGGTAAAATGATACCTACTGTCTGGACTCCCTTCTTTATTTTAGTTTTGCCAGAGAAGGAATTCCTGTCATAATTGAGCTGCCATCTTGCCAAAGAGAAGGAAGAGCCTCTCTTTAACTGGTTTATGTTTGTACCCACAATTAACTTGAACTGTCCTCGAATCTGAGAGTAAAATAAGCAAATGCCAAAGCAGTCTTCTGGAAGGTCAAACAAAACAGTTGCAACTGACTGTTGGTCCTAATACTATATTATGCAGTACATATTTTAAAATGAGCATCTGATGAGGAAAGACTTAGCTCTGCTTCCTTGTTTATAGATGTATCCATTGGAACACACGTGTCTACCTGAATATAATACTGCCACCGCTGTAGCATTAAATGCACATGTTGTTTGTGTGTTCCAGTGGTGAGAGATTTGAGGATGTTTTTGCTGTTTTGCCCAAGAGTGAAATAGCAATGCTAGCTGTCTTCAGATATCAGATGGCTGGTCATTCAGAGAACGAATCCTCTGTTGCTTCAGAGGGCAGGAGTAGAAGTGGGGGGATGGCAGGGGAACAGAATTTTATTTCATGATAGAATGTATACATCATCAAATGCTATAAATAAATAAAAATACAAAAACATTGCAATAAGAACAGGAACATCAATAAAACACTCTGGAAACGCATGTCTGGAAAGAAAAGATTTCAGTCTGTAGTAAAAGTGAATCTTGCTAAGCATTACATGTGCCATCCTATGGATGGTCAAGCAGAAAGAAGTTCTACAACTTTTCCTGCTGCATTGCCCAGCAACATGGGACATTGTTGTCTTAATGGTAAAAGCCATCTCATGTTTAAACCCGGGTGTATTTTTTATCCTTGGGCTGATGCACTTGTCCCTTGTTCCTTTCCTTGTTCCTCTTCCACTTCCCATGCACAGCAGGTTAAACACTGACATCCTGTGGCTGCTGTTTGCCCTGCATGTTCAAGCTCCACACAGAAAGCAGGTTTTGCCAGGGTGGCATCCAGCAGACAGAAGAGGCTGGTGACTCCTATGTACGTTAACAGGCTCCTGATCCATTGCAGCTTTTATTCTGAGGTTTGCAGGAGAGATCTGTGGTGCTTCATGTGGTGAACCTATTTTGAGGGTGCAGTTCAGCACCACAGATAGCTTTATAGAACTCGGGACTGAAACTGCACCAGATAAGGAGCCTCAGTGACAGCGGAGTCACCGGCCTCCCATGCCTGCAGGAGAGAAACAGTTTGCATGGACTGCCACCTTCAACAGAGCGGAATGCCTCTGGCTACCAGTGGCTTGAAAGCGAGCAGTGAAGAAAGGCTTCTACACTGGTGAGTGCTCAGCTGGCCACTGTGGGAAGCAGGATAGTAGACCAAAGAGGAAGGCAATCGTTGGTCATCGCCTAGGGTGCCCGGACACTCAGACAGGCGGCAGCGGTACTGGCAAGGAACATCTTGCCGATGCAGTACTTACACACTGAGTAGACCAAGCTGAAGCTGTGAGTCATGTTGAATGGCAGTGTTTTCCCCAGTGTGTGAACCAGTCAGCACACTAACCTTTGCAGAGGCACAGCCAATGAGGGCACTGGAGCAGAGAGAGGCCCTGGGAACGCATTTTCTGGATGCCTGGGAACAAGCAACGGTAGGATTGGTGTGTGCGTGTGTGGTAAGCTTGCTCTTTGCCAGAGCCACTATGAGACGAGACCTGTGTGAGGACCTGGCAGGGCTCTCCTTTCTTCATTTCTTCCTTGTGAAGCTGGCAGGGGCAGCCCCGTGGGTGAAATAGCAAAGGCAGCTCCTCCCGTCAAGTATCTGTCGGCCTGCCACTCAGAGAAGGAAGTGGACCCATTCTCTGGTACTCCAGAGGGTATGAGTAGAACCCAGGGGTGGAAATGGCAAGGAAACAGATGCTTATTTATGCTATTTGTGATAAAATACATAAGAAAACAGAGTAGCTTTAACACATTGAAATAGACAAACAAAAATTGTCTACACCAATAAAACTGAGGCTGGAATTTGCTCATTAGTTGAGAAATGCTTGCCTGGCAAGAAGTCTTCAAGCAATGCTAAAATCAAAGCTCACTAAACATTAAGTGTACAGTCCTGTGCATCCTTACACAGAGAAAAGCCCTACAATTCCCAGTATTCCTCTGCCAGCATGAGGAATTCATGTCCCGAGGGGAAGAGCCATTTGCAGAAGAATAGATTTCTTGGGACATAGCAGGCCTTTTCTTGGAAGACTGTTACTAAATGACAGTGGTTGGGTGGCCATCTAGATGCTGGAGTTGCATTCTGCATTGTAGATCCTGCTCTGAGAAGAGGTTGGATTTAATCTGAGTGGGTTGAAAGTAGATCTGTATCTGCAGATATGTCTCTAATTGATTTTCGGTAAATCTGCCTGGAGTGTTGACTCCCAACTAGCAACAGAACAGAAATCAAATCATGAGGGATAGAGACAGATGGAATAATGCTGTCTAACTTTCTAGAGTTTCTTGAAAGGATTACTTAGAACCAGAACCTTGCGTGCAAAGGCTTTTGCACACTTGAAAGCAATAGTCCAGCCTTCTCCAGCATTGGGTTCCCACATGAAATTGGACTAGAACTCTCATTAAATCTCAACCATTTCTCTTGCTTGCTGTGGATGATATGATTGTCCAGAACAACTGGGGACCCCAGGTTGGAAAAGGCTGGACTGTGCAAGTTGCTGATGTCATCAATGTCCTTAGCAACCAGTTGTCCACCCAACATTCAGCAGAACCCCAAGGGTTGACCCCATTCACATGGTCATGAATTTTTAAATGCTACAGCAGGATGACCCAGTGGAAAGGTGTCTCACATGCCACTGTTCTACCATGTAAGCCTGGTACATGATAGCACAAACACACTCCTGTCAGGACAGCGATAATCTGGTGTCAGTAGTTTATGTGCTGGTAGCTTCCAGGGTGGAATACTGCAGTGTGGGGCTGCCCTTGAAGACTGGAATTTGCAGCCTGGGAAAAATGCAGACAGCCTAATAAATAGGGCTAGATGGTCCAAACATATAATCGCAATTCTGGCTGGCTTGCATTGGCTGTCTGTTGTTTTCAAGCCCAATTAAAAGTGGTTTTCACTTATGAAGCCTTACATATGCCGAGGCATGAGGGGATGGCATATAAAAGTTTTAAATAGATAGATAGATAGATAGATAGATAGATAGATAGATAGATAGATAGATAGCTTTGGATGCCAATAGCAGATGGCTGGCTTCCCCAAGCCTGAATCTGTCAGTCACTATGATCAACATATGAGCCCTTCCTCTGCCAATTTCCACTGCCAAGTCTTGGACGGTGGCAGCGAGGGAGGAGGTCTTCTTACTGGTTGTCCCCTGCTTATGGAAGTAACTCCTCACTGCCTGGCACCAACAGGGTCATCTTTATGGCATCAGATTAGAATGCCCCTGTATTCCCAGGGCACTGAATGGGGCATTCTTAGTTCTCTTTCTAAAATGGCCAGTGTCTTTATTGCAATTGATTTAAGCCATTTAGACTGTTTTTAAATCTGAATTATATGTGTTTTATTATCTGCATTTAAGTTTTGTTATGAATTTTTGTTAACCAGCCAGAGATGTTTAACCATATAGAGAGGAGGGAGTTCACTTGCTTCTATCAGGTCTTAGGAGTACATTGTGGAAACATGTAACATTTCCATGTTTCTTTCATGCTTGTTCTTTAATAAGCAAAATAGGCACTCCATGGCTGATCAAGTGAGCCTGCTCTTGTATTAAGATAATTATCCTCCCTCCCCCATCAAACTAGGCAGAAGGAAATGCAGCCAGGGCCTCCTTTGCAGCAGCATCACTGGTGGAACACGCGCCTCACCTGGCCTCCCTTCTGTATTTACTCAAGCTTCTAACATCCAGCAAATTTTATGCTGCCCCATTCAAAGGTAAGATTTTCTTTCTAGTTTATTGCTGGTCTGGAATCTTTAAGAAATGTCACATTTTCATGATTGTATATTATTAACTTTTTAAAAACTGCCTTTAATTTCTTCCTTTTAAAAAAATTATAAAGCAAGGCATTTTAAAAAATGAAAGAAACCAAATCTTTCCGCCTTTTTCTTGCACAGAGTTGAGCTACACTGGCTACACTTTTGCACTAAGCTTTGCAGCATTATAAGAAAATCAGGTTGCTCGTATACGAGACAGAAAGCATTGATTTGCAAACACTACCATTCATGTACAGCTTTCTAAATTTTCAAAAATCTTTGTAACTAGCATAAAGGGCAAAGACTCCCAATGCTACCTTTACTACTAGAGTTAGGCTATTGTAAACAGACAAAGCCTACAGACAGCAACACAGAAAGTGGAAATCATATCACATTCTTCACATTTCTGAGACTCCTCCAAGCTTTGGCTGAAATGGCTCGCTTTGCACCTACCCCCTTCCTCTAGTGGCGGGTTAGCTGGGGACAAAGCCATGTGGGAAGACTAGCACACCGCATTGCTGTTCAAGGTTGTGGCTTCCTTTATGGATTCAATCCATCTCGTATGTGGCCTTCGAATTTCTATTTCTTCATTATTAACAGTAAAGTTCCGAAATTCTGGACATGTTTATTTTCTTAATATTCAGCTGGAATCCTGCTTTTGAGCTTTCTTTCACTTTATCAGGAGTCATTTCTGCTTTCTACCAGTAGATGGTATCATCTGCATATCTTAAATTAGTGATGTTTCTTCTGCCAATTTTCACTCCTTCCTCTGATTCTAATCCAGTTTTCCTTATATGTTCTGCATACAGATTGAACAGATAGGGAGATAAAATACATCCATGTCTGACAGCTTTGCATATGGGAAACCATTCTGTTTCTTCATATTCTGTCCCAACTGTAGCTTCTTGCCAGATACAGATTACACCTTAGGACAATCCAGTGCTGAGGCACACACATTTCAGGATCCACACAGTCAAAGGTTCTGCCGTAGTCTATAAAGAATAGACTGATCTTTTTCTGAAGTTCTTTGGGGTGCTCCAGTAGCCAACACATATTTGAAATATTAATTTATATCCTTTCTTCTTTCAAAGAACTCAACAGTGGCTTACATAATTCTTCTGCTCTCAATCTTATCCCCACAACAACCACCCTGTTAAGTAGTTTGGGCTGAGGCCTGTGGCTGGCCCAGTCACCCAACTGGCTCCATGCTGAGCAAGGACGTGAACCCAGAGTGCCTGAGTCCCAGTTCTGGTTCTTAGCCATGATACCACGCTGGCCCTAATATGATCTCTAGCGCCAATTAGGGGCTGAAAATAAGCCACTGCAGCATGGTTTCTCTCCCTGATCATGTGAACTTGCCCAGTGTTGTAACTGTGCTTGGGTTTACCCTCTTCTTTTAATGTATTTTTATTCTTATTCTGTTCTTGCTTGTCATCTTAAGAAGCCTCAGGACTGGATAGCGGGTTCAACAAAGACACACACCCAACTGAAGGAAGGCCACAAATCTTGCCCTGCAGGGCTGGACTCACTCCTAGTACAGCTTGTTCAAGACCAGCCACTCTTTTAAAAAAATCACAATTTCTAAATGAAGTGGTCGACTTGGTTTAGCATTTAATAGCCATTTATTCACGAGACACATCCACTATGAATACTGTACCAACTTTAATTTCACTGTCATTGGAATCATGCACAACACTAATCAGAAATCAGTCAAATGGAATTCATAACACATTTTGTTCTATACCTTTATTCCCAAAGACACATTTACTGTCAGGTTAGAAAAGCAGAGAGGTTTGGAAAATATTTAAGTATAAACATTTAACAATATTTGTTTTTCATCTCCATGAACAAGAACAACAGCACCAGTCTCCCCTTTCTAACATTTTAACTTAATATAGCCAGCATAAAAATACTAAAGTTTAAAAAGGTTAACAGAGTCACATACAAATACATATCTTACTCACTGAAGGAGGCACATTAGCACTATTGCTAAATAAGTTGAAGACCGAGTGATTTCTGAATTTTAAACTGTTACTCTGTATTACAGAGCACTCTCCAGGTGAGAACCCGTTTTGCTCAGCAAGAGAATGGATCCAAAGAGAAAAGTCTTTAGTGCAAACTCAACTGAAATCAGTTACCCAACTTGTGTGTCACATCTTCCCCTCCCTACCTTTGTTATACTAGATATTTTACAATTCAACAAGGTTTATTTCTATCCCAACCAGCACATTAAGAGCGGTGCTATGAGCAGCACCAAAATAAACTGGCATTGGCTAATATTACTACCTTTATGAGATATTCCATGTTTCTTCTACATATACTCAGAGAGTACTACACAAATGTGACAGCCCTGCCCAGGGTGTTTACTTAGAGAAAAGACCAGAGAAAGACAAAAAAGCAGAACACGAGGTGGGGAAAAGTTGACGTGAACATAGAAAAGCAACCAAGGTGGGGTGAGAGTGAGCATCTGTGGTCAAGCACATGTGCATAGCCCCAGGCTCAATCCCCAGCATCACACCAACGAAAGCAAATCTTAATTAGCAGGGCCCATGATCCCAGGAAGCCACTATCCGAGCAGGTAATACCGGCAAGCGGGGCCAGAGGCTTTTTTATGTGGTAAATCCTTTGTTAAACCAAGTTATGAGGCTAGCTCAACCTCAGGGACACCAGTTGTGTGAAAAGGTGAGATCTTGCTTTACATTGTTAACTGGTGATAGTGGGGGAAGAGGTCACAGAAACAGGAGCAAAAGACAGGGGTTTGGCTGCAGAGGAGCTGTTGCAGAACAGGAGGGGGAAGACAGTCTGCTAGGAATGCTGGAGGACAGATAGCAGCCACAGCTGCTATGGGCAACTCTCTCAAGAGTTCACAGAAACACATTGGGAGGGATAGGAGACTCCCAGGAATGGAAGGAGCCTCAACAGGAAGCAAAATCACCAGGTTATCTTGCACATCACAGGTAAGAAACTAGAGGAAGGAATGAAGATCTCAGCTGTCAGCCTGGACCATCCATCCCACAAAGAAGAGAAGATAGTGAAGGGCAGGCCTGGAGCACAGAGAAAAGCTGTTACTCAACTTCCATTACTCGGCTGTTGCTCAGCCTTGCAGAACAGAAGTGGCTTACCATGTACATGAAAGTCAATGAACTGCATCACTGCTCTTACAGAGATGCGCAACCAACAGTATTACCTGCATATCTGTAAACACTTTATACAGAACACTGTCATTCTCTGAATTAAATCAAGAATAAAACTCTTTGTGAGGTGTGCTGGCCGCACTTTCACAGTAAAAAGAGAGTGATATTTAAAACAGTAATTACAAGTACATTTAACACGATCAGTAACATTTTTACATCCACCTGTTGCTCTTAATGACACAAACCTTTTCTATGAAAGACGACAAAAATGTCTCCCACTCACTACTTCATTAGGTACTATGGATAATGTCAGAAGAAAGCCCACTTTTCAGGAAGAGGCATTACAGACTGTACTTAAAACAACCAGAAGTGTTCTATTATTTTAAATATTTGTACTGAATTTTCCATTTTTAACTGTTTGTATGGTAGGTTAGTATCTTAACTGTTTGTAATAAGATAATGTTGGTGACTGGGTTGATAGAAAATATAAATAATCTCATCTATTAAGAGCAGCAATTATTTGGCCTGATAATACTTAGAAACAACCCTAATAAAATCAGCACCCAGATGCTATTTCACTCCCATCAATATTTTGTTTGCAGTCCAATTTGTATTGAAAACTATGCATAGAACTTTTGTTTGATTTTAAAGTGCTGACAGTAAGGCAAACCTTATTTACGTTTAGAAATTGTTTCCAGTATCTGACGGAACTTTAAGGACTCAATAGATGTTGCAAAAACCTATTTACACTTTCTTTTATTTCCCTTCTGTATAATTACTCTTCTTAGGGAGCCATCTTAGGGGCCCTAGGTGGCATCTGAGGATCCACATGATTGCTTGGAGTACACGCTCCCCCCATCCCCATGCCAACTTCAGGGATTGTGCTCTCGCTTTGGAAAATGGAGTCAGAGATCCAAAACTCCTCACCTCCCTCAAGCCTCAAAGTCTGGAGATGGGAAACTGGAAAGGCCAGGTTGAGCTACCATGAGCTCCCCTACAAAATACCTTTGCTAGACTGGCTAAAAGCCCAACCAACAAAAAATGCAGGGTTGCATGACTGAGAGCTGAAAACTGACTTCATCTCCCACCTTGGACATGACGATCGTAAGTCTGAAAGCTCACAAGCACTGATGGCACAGTAACTAGGTCTGAGTCCTCAACTATTTTATTGCACTGTCAAGTAAGGCATGCTTGCAACCCCCTCAAGTTATATCATCCGCGGAACCAAAGGAATGAGATGAATAAGATAGGCCAGAACTGCTCATTCAGTGCAGCTTCACGCCTCCCTCTAGCCCACTTTCACTTCTTTGTGCAGAGAATGACATTTAAGAAGTTAATTCCCCTGGTTTTTCTACTGAAACTTACACTTTTATGTATCACCATCAAACAGGCCCTATTCTTTTACTCAAAGAATGGGAAATTCCATCTGCATGAGCAGGAATTGCCCAGTACAAAGCTGCTGTATTCCCTGTGCAATAGCCATGTTTTTAAGTCATTTCAGTCTTTATGCGATGGCTTTGAATTAATGATGAAACTTTTATTCAACTAAAAACTCAGTAGAAATGAAGTGCATGGCTACGCTTCTCTGAAATCAGGATTCGGACTATAAGCAATTTTTATATTACACGCTAAGTGATTTGATATTGTTCAACATAATTTTAAGGAATATAAACAAGGTTCAGTCATAAACTAGCAATGTATGTACACTCAAGACTATTTACATTTAGCCTAGATACAAAACTTCGTATTTGTTAAACAATGACAAACTTTGCCATTGTTAAACAATGACAAACAATGACACAAATATTATTTGAAGTCAGGATCTGCCTCCTGTAATAGGAAGGAACTTCTACAGGAGAGACCACTCTGCTCGTGGAAGACCCCTCTGCCTGACTTTTGGGGATCCCTCTCAATCCGAACTTCAGCTCACACCTTTCAGCAGGGCCTTCTGACTGTCTATGTATCATTTTCAGCGGGTTGCCTGAGAATGAGAGACCACTAAAGTCTACTTCCATCAGCACAGTAACTCCATTGTAAATTTTGGATTTAACCCACCACATTTATGCAAATTAAAAGCACTGTATTTATACATTCCCAGTGACCAGATAGCTAATAATTTATTTCCAAAAATAAGTTGTACTCATAACAGATACATGTAATGTCCATACTTGCTAAAAATACATGTTAAAATTGGTATTTTCTCTGTATTACAGCCACTTTGCCAAGTGGCTGCAACACAGCTAAGAAAAAAGTTGGTGCTTTCAGGGCTTTTTAGTTTACTTTTAAGGTGTTGCAGTTTAAATATGTAACTGGACAAGAGAATTTAGGAAGCTAACTTGGAAACAAATCTTCCTGAGATATTGTGCTCTAGGGGCAGAATTCCCTGGGTGGCTTCTCCAAAAGGAGGTACTTCTGACTAGTCCCTGTATGTTTCACTCCAACGTATGTCAGGGTAATGCCTGGCAGATTCTTTCACCTCAGTTTGCTTAGGTGTACACCTGAAATGAAATGTTTCCCCCCAACACCCAACACACACACAGGGCAAACCTTGTCCTTCTGGTTATGCTGAAACTTGTGCTCAAATGACAAGTACTGTTTGCCATTTCAGATTTTAAATCTTGGGCCAAACAAGCATGGTTCAGAGAAATGCGTAACCAGCTCCAAGGGGAATGAAATTTGGCCAAACATAGGACAAATTGCCTCCATTGCGCCTCGGCTTGGAATGGCACTGGATACACAGAAGCCTTCTTGATCAGAGACTTCTGTCTCAGGATTGTGTCCTAAAATAACCACTTTTTACTAATCAACTGAAAGAAGCATTATATTAACAAGGTTAAGTTATTTCACGTTTACTCCCATTTCTCGGTTAAGAATAGGCAAGATCAGGCTGCTGACAACAGGCGGGCCTGGGGGTGTCTGCACCATAGCTTGCCTAGAAATGTAACTGGCAGCCAAAAGAAGGGCTGACGGTCCCCAGAACCAACATCAACAAGCCCCGCTCCTTACTCATTCTCTCTGTAGTGACCTTCAACTACATCTGAATTGAAGTAAACCACGGTAACAGTGATATCATCCCGATACATGCGTGCCAAATCATCTGGAAGAGTCAGCATTGCCATGAGCTTCTCCGGATCGATCTCTCCATTTTCATTACTGCCAACCGCATGTCGGATGAGGTGAGTTGCCACATTTCGGTCGTATGAATGGCCCTGCCTCACTTTTCTCCGAAGCAGCAAGTTCTGCATGCAACCCAGGTTGGCTGGTTTCTTAAAAGTGAACCCTGTTTTCCGGACATCAGCTTCCAGCAGATGGTCTGCAACAAGCCGGACTACTTCTTCATTGCTCAACATGTCCCACAGGCCATCAGAAGCGATAACTAAAAATTTATCCTGCTTTCTTATTTTGTGGTAGGTAACTTCCGGCTCTGCAGTTAGATAGGGCGGCGTATGGTAGTTTGGAGGTACGAACTCATAAATGTTTAAAGCCTCCGTGTTGCAACAGTTGCCCAGCACACTGTTCTGCAGTTCCCGGCTCCACTTGAAACTGACATCTCCAAAGGCTCTCGAGGGCATGAGGACTCCGAGCAACCTGTTGTTCACAATGAGGGTGCCCTCTTCCGTGTCTGGGTGCTCCTCTTTTAACCTTAAGGCCTCCATTTTGTTGAAAGCATTGTGATCTTGAGTAAGAGGGAGGGCTGACCACATCCCATCTTCATTCTGAACCCCTAAAATTGCTCTGCAGTCCCCCGTGTTTGCAACATGCAAATGAACACTGTCGATGTGAGCCACACATGCTGTTGTGCCTGAGAAAGCTACCTGAAGAGCTATGTTTCTGGTCAATTCATTTTCTGAGGGAGCCTGAACCTCCAGGGATATGTCCGAATCCAGTCTTTTAAATGCATGGATCAAAGCATCTTTTAGATCCAACCTGAGCTCTGTGTCCATGTTGAGCAAGTCCTGCCAATAAACCCGGAGCTGCTCCAAATACAGTGGTGCTACTTCTTGAAAGAATCTGTCATTGGGATGCTTGTGCCACTGTAGAATAGGCAGAACTGGTTTCATAGACTCCATGGCAGCCTCAATTTCTTCCAGCGTGTGCGGAGCCAGAAGAGAAACAGCAATGTAAAAAAACAGCCTCTCGCTGACTGACTGGGCACAGGCATAACCTGCGTGACCATCAAAGACCCCAAACATCATCCCTCGGGTTTGCAAACAGGTAGCTGCGCTTCTGCGGTCTTCAATTGGGGTGTTGGCAGCCAAGTGGTTACTCTCAAACTTCAGCACAGAGCTTGGGTTTTTCCCATCAAATTCGGGGACCGTATGGGACAAGTCATTTGCCCGTAAGATGTCATTGATCTGTGATGGTGTCAGATGGAAAGAGAAATCTTCTTCTTCTGTTGAGGTATGTCTGAAAGCTTTTCTCACAGCGAGAGCTTTGTTCATCTTGCAACTGCAGCTTGCCAGGAGGGAAGAAAAATGGCCTTTGGTAAACACATTCCTCCATGGTACTTTGTATTGACTTGAAATGCACCTGGAATATAAACATCCTTTTCCAGGCAGAGTGGAGATGGTGCTTCGCACAGAGATTGTAATCCAAGAGGACATCGTATTAAACTTCCTAAGAATTCTTCAGCTTTAAATCAGGATGTTTGAAAAACCTACAGGTAAGAATTAAGTGGCTGTTAGATTAGGTAATGTGCAAATGCATCCTGTAATCTCTACATGGATGGTACAGATGAATGTTTGACAATAGGTTATTCAAGAAACATAAGCAAGCACGGAGCAGGGGATTGGACCATCTGACCCCTCCCAACTCTACTATTCTATGCTTCTACAAATTGACTTTTGTTATTTAGAGTGCAAAGAGAACCTGCAATCATAATCTCAATACCACTCACATAGAAGGATTTGGTATCAGGTCTGTGGACTAGTAATGTGTTAAATAGATTTTTAAAATGCAAATGGAAGATGCAAACTGAAGATGGTACCGATTTCACTGGACACCTTTACGATAAAACACATTAAGGATGCAATCCCAGCATGCTGGGAATTGTAAGCCTCTTTCTGTTTAAATATGCAAAAAGACTGCACCTTTACTTAGAATTAGTCTGGTCATTTCAGTGGCTCTAGAGTCAAATGCCAAAGGACTTAACATTTGTTGTATGAGTGTATTTCTTCAGGAAAGGCTCCCTGCCAAAGAGATAGTTTGCATCATCCAGCCCTTTGCAGAGCTATCTCCCATCATAATTCTTCTAACTCGATCGCACTCTTCATGGTATGAAAGACCCGAATGAAGTTGAGCCAAGTTAAACAACCATGTGCCTACATAATCCCCAGACGTAAGAGATGTGCTTTGTAATACCTTCTGGAATAATTCTATAAAGGATCAGCAGTTGTTTAATCTGTACAACTACCATGAAATATTTACTTATTTAAATTAATTACTTTAAAATTAGCAAATTTAAAAACCACTCCATATTTCAGTATGGAGATTTTTGGAACAGTGTACAATAAAAAATAAACTAGTGAAAGAATAAAGCAGTGTTAAAAGCAGAATCAATAAAGTGGCACCTGGTTAGTTCAAGAAGGCCTCCCGAAATACCCGATTTCAGGAAACCTTGCAAGCAGCACAATGTGGTGCCTGCCTGACTTCCAAAGGGAAGGAGTTCCGAAGAAATGGAGCTGCTACACTGAAGCACCTTTTCCAGGTGGACTCCAGTTGAAGCACAGGTCCTTATGGAACCACCTCAGTGACTCTGCAGGTTGAGAAGAGAGGAGTCTCTCTCTCTCAGGTCTCTGATCCTCAAATGGTTGATATGTAAATCAACTGAGTAGGGTAATTTTATATGGCACCCTCTTCTTTGGCTATAACCTATACCATAAGTACAAGTCCCAGTGAAATCAGTAGGACTTGTTTCAGAGTAAATGTTTTTGGAATCATGCTCTTAGCGTAAGAGAGTATGCACATTTTGGAAACATTCCTGCCCAGATAAAAATTAGCCCAATAAAGGTTCATGCTTATTCTGTTCCTTATGTACAATTATGAAAAAAGCATTCCATTGATTAATTTTTAAGCCTCTGCTTACAAATCCCTCTCATAAGTGTATCTCAAGCTCTTTCAAATCAAAATCAGTGACTGTGCTTGCACTGGCATTTTTGAAGCTCTGATTTTTATTTATTTACTTACTTATTTTACAAAATGTGTTCTACTGGGATATTGGCTGGAGGACTGAAAAGGAAAGCATTGGAGGAAGGTAAGCCCAATATTTTGCTGGTGAAAAGTGAACTGTTTGCAGAAGAATAATGCAAAAGCTACACAAGCATATTGTGTTTTTTATCTGCATGGTGGCTTAACATGTCATGCAAATTTACCTCTTATCTCATTGCCCAAGGGTATTAAATCCACTGATGTTACATCTGGGTCAGGTGATAAAAGACAGGTGAGTTTCATGAGTAATGAAGTGGAGCTAGTATCTCCTATCTCTTTTCAAACCATTTAACTTTCACTGCTTGAGAAGTTAAACTTCTGCACACGGAAAAAAACTTATCTTTCACTAATATCAAATAGGTTTTCCTTTTAAGAAAGGAAAAGTTGTGAATTTTCCATTTTACAACAACAGCTACTGCTCTTGACATTCTTTGTATGGGTCTTCCATCTGCCTATTTTATTTTTTATAGAAAAGCCATCAAGTTTTTCCAGAGGCATCTGTTGTTCTTTTACCTTCCTCCCTTTTACTGCTTCCTTATCTCCCTCTATTACTCTTCCTTCTGCCCACCTACAATCAATTTTGTTTCCTTCTGTAGATAGAAACAAAAAGAACAAAGTAGCAGGAGATACGAAACAACCTGTCCTGTATTTACCTTGCTAGTCATTCAGGATTCCATGACCTTTCTCCGAATGAGCAATGTGGGTGTCCTTCTTGCAAACCTGTTAAAAACTAAAACAAGAGGGTTAATAAGAAGGTTGCTGACATGATACTTACAAATGCTGTCAGTAAAGAAGATCGCAGTACAAAAGGTTGCAAACTCAGTTACCCATGCCAATCAGTAGTTCAGAAAATGTGATTGTCTAAGTGACCCATGAACAAAGTTTCTTACAAATTCAAGGAAACCACCTAGATGTGCAGAAGAACATTGTTCTATTTATGAGAGAGAGAGACAGGGTGCTTTCAGATGGAGAGCCGCTAAGCACCGCTAATCAAAATGCCTATTCTGTTTTGCTTTATAGCCATTTTTTTCTAGTAAGAAAACAGAAAGCAGTGGTGAGAAAGACAAAAGGATTTTAAACTGGAGGGTGACATCATCTGGACCCCCTCCCCATAAACTTCTGTGTTTGGAGCAGGGTGACTACAGGACAATGCCTGACCTAGAAATGTGCGCGCATGCACACCGAGCAAGCTTGAACAACATTTTCTTCCTTCAGGAGGGCTGTCAGAAGGATTAACTATTAAAAACTTCGACAGGGAAAAGTGAGAAGAGGCAGCCACTGGCACCATAGTGACCAATTCTCCTACCCTTTAAGAAAGACAACAATGATTCCTGTTCCATCCCGAACAAGAAAAAAGGGACCTTCCCAAACAGCATTGTCAGGAGAAGGGGAAACTCCCTCCTCTCCCCCCCCCCCCCAGTAAAACTTTCCCCCTCTATAATGCTATAGTGCTCAGGTTCAGGGCCACTGATCCAGTATAGGGAGGATGGTGTGTATACACACACACACACACACACACACACACACACACAGCAATACTGTACCCCCACAATTAGGGGCCACTCTCCTACATTCCACTCCCCCCTCCCCACAACAATTACTTGAAGGGAGGTTAAGTCCACCCTAGAAATACCCAACAAATTATCTAACTACCACAATAGCTTAGTACTGCAAAAATAAACACCTTTTAATCTTTTGTATTAGAAGAGATGCATGCTAAATTAGTATTGCATTTCAACAGTATGCTACTGTGCCTATATCAACAGAAGCTGTGCATCATTGCATAACGGGTCAGTCAAGGTAATGTTGTTTTAGAACTTGATAAAAGCAACTCTCTCTTTGGCTGTAGTAGAGCTGTGGTAAGGGCTGTTTGCTTTTGCTTCAGGCTACAGAGTTACAAACAAGTTTGACAAAGTCAAAAAGCCAGCATAATCTCAGCAAAGAAAATAGGGGAGAGAAAGCATGAACTGATCAGATTACATAAGAAAATTTAACATTTACAGCACAGAATACACAGCTTTCCAGTCAAAATATACATATTCTTGAATATCCACCTATATACAGATCTGTGCAAATGTAACAAGGAAGTTAAGATTAAGGCCTACACACACAAAGAACATTTCTTAAATTCATAGACAAGAAAAACACCTACCTCTTTTAAATTTCTAAACACTGGAAGATCACTTAGATGCCTAGGCACCTGATACTGTTATCACTGCACCCCTCAGAATGGAATTGTGCCTTAAAAAATATCAATACCAACTATCAAAGAATGCAATTTGAGAATCCACAACTGGAAACAGTTTGGCATCAGGTTACCAAATTTCAAACTGGTTTCTTCAGCATTTCTTTTTACAGAAGCTGTGCACTGCTACACTTCATAGGTAATGAATATTAGGAAGTGAGAGAGTGTGTGTACAGTGAAACAGAACAGGCAGCTACCATAAATGAACCATAATATGTATTTCTAGGCCATGAAAAGGCCACCTGCTTACTTTTTAGACCATTAGCCTCTGTCTTTAAATATGGCTGGGGCTATTTCCCTTGCTCTTCTTAGTCAGCAGGTAATCTCTTTCTGCCGCACAGAGAAGCTCAGTCAAAAATCATCCCGTAATTGACAGAGCACAGCAGCTGAGATGGGAGGGGCAGCAGCTCAGCTCCTCCCTCAGCGCGCACAGCCATTGGCTCTGGCGAGGGGCGTAAGGTGGCCACACTGCTGGGTGTGGGCGGAGCTGCAGGCGCGCCCAAGGGCCATGCGGGGCTGTCTGGGGAGAATTCCGGGGAAGGCAGGAAGGAAGCCGAGCAAGGCATGGCGCGTGGCCGCAGCTCGATTAGTACAGTCGCCTCCCCCACCTGGCGCTATTCAGGTGTTTTGAACTACAACTCCCATCAGCCCTTGCTGTGGTGGCTGATGGGAGTTGTAGTCAGAAATCTCTGAGGGGTGCCTGGTTGGAGAAAGTTGCATTACAAGGCTTCGTTTGAACCAGGGGCTTAAAATGTGTAGAGCACACACACACCAACCATAGTTGGGGCAAGAGACTCGGCTCTTTTCAGAGAGGGCAGGCATCGAATTAGCTGCTTCCTGGGGAGTAAAGCTCCTACTTGTTCAACAACTGGCTGGCTGGTTGCCTTGCCGCTGAAATCTTATAACACAATCCTGGTTTTGTTTTTCCCCAGAATGAATCCCCACTGAGCTCAAGGGGTGCGAAGAGAGGCTTGGTCCCCCGTGGACGCGTTTAGGATTGCCCGCTATTCATGTCATTCATGCCATTTCTATAGAACCCAATAGCTGAAGCTTACAAAGATCAGAACTTAAAAAAACAAACGCTTATAACGGCATGCAGCAATTGACACCAAGTCTGGGTCCTCAGATGCTCTTGAGCCAAAACACCTATCATCCGTGATCACTGGCCATGCCGACAGGCTATGCTGGGGGCTGTGGTCCAGCAACATCTAGGGGATTCAAGGCTCGCAAAGGCTCGCCTAGACCAGACAGCTTCGACTGTAGGGCGGTATAGGAACGGGAATGAAAAGAATAACAATTCCTTAAGTAGAGATCCTAGGGAAGTTTGGACAGAGAGGAAGTCCTACAATTCCTGGCACGCCCCGCCCAGCCAGTGCTGGCTGGGGCACGCTGGAAATTACGGACTTGTCATTTTTCTGTCCAAGCCCACCTGGGATCGCGCCCTGCAGCCGGGAAGGGCCGCCTCACGCCCAAGCAAATGCCGTCCCTCGTGGTACAGGCACCTCCGCCGACCCGACCCGCCTCGCCTTTCCTCCCCGCGGCCCGGCCAGGCGCGCCCGACTCCTCCCTCCCTCTCCCGCTGCGCATGTGGCCGCCGCGCGTCCCCGTCTCCGGAGGAGCGAGCAGCGCCCGCTCGCGCGGCCCTTACCCGTCCAGCTCGAGCGAGGAGCCGGCGCCGGCCGCCGCCCCGTCACCCTGCCGCGCTGCCGCCTTCCGCCAGCCCCGCGCTCCGCTCGGAATCCGCCGGGGGCGGCGGCGACTCCGCCTGCTCGTACATGGCCGCTTCCCGCCTCCGCCCCCGGGGCTCGCCCGCCCGCCTGCCCGCGGCTCCGCCTCGGGCTGGCGCCGCCCGAGCCGCCACCTCCCGCTCTGGGAACGCGCCCGCCTCGCTGCTTGCTGCTGCAAGTGTGCCGAGTCCGGCCAGCCTGGGGGTTTCTATGGAGAGCAATATGGTTGTCCTCCTGCCGAAGGAAAGGGCGCCTTCCTGCTTGTCGCCTGAAATAAGGAGAGGACGAAGGCCAGGGAAGAGGAGCTTGTGGAGGTGCCTGCTTCACAGTCACTTGGGGGCAGTGCTGGATCCCGGATTCAGGCCCACTGGACCTTTGCACATGCTACTTTGTATTTTGTTTCATGCTCTGTGTGTGTCTTAGTTTAAAGGATCTTGTCACCGAAGCCCCCCCCCCCCCATTTGTAAAAAACGGTGCTGGTGAGGGCTCATAGAAGTTGCTGGGCAATCAGGTGCTGGGCCACAAGCTGCCCGCCAGTGCATTAAGACTTGAGAAAACCAGTGTGATGAGTTTTAAACCAAGGTAGGGCAGGAGAGGACCAAGTCTGAAATTCCCACTAAACCACTCTGCCTAACCTCTCTCACAGGGTTGTTGTGAAGATACAATGGCTGGGGGAGGAGTGGGGGAGGAGAGGACCAGGAAGACCCATGCATGCCACCTGGAGCTCCTTGGAGGAAGGGTGGATAAAAATGAAAAAAATAAAAGGCAACCATATTATGGCATCTGCCTTTATGAACTAACGTCTGCTTTGTTAGATGCATAATAAAATGTTATGCTCAGTTGGCAAGTCCAGTTGAACATATATCTAGAGGAATTGAAAGACAGATAACAGTGGAGTCAATTAGACATGAAGTGCAACAGGGCATTCTTTAAAAAAAAGAAAGAGGAAGAGAAGAGAAGGGTAATAGTTGGTGTGATGGAAAATCCCAGGCTGAGATTAGTCACCAATTGCTGTTGCAAAATCTTACTGGGGGTTTTCCATCACAAGCAATATGCTTTTTTCTTCTCCTTCCTCATATTTTTAAACTCTAATTTATATTCAGGGTATTATTACTTAACCGCTTACGTAAGAAAAATTCTGAGGAATCCAAAAGCTTGATTAGTACTTTCTGACGTTTTACCTGACCATAAAGTATTATGCTTCTTTTGCTTTTGGATTTTTTTCTCATGGAAAATTAGATGTTCACCTGAAACTTCTTAGTTTTTGTAAACCAGTACTATATTTTTGCCTTTCATATAGTCAAGGCTATGGTTTTCCCAGTTGCAATGTATGGCTATGAAAGCTGGACCATAAGGAAGGCTGAGCGCAAAAGGATTGAGGCCTTTGAATTGTGCTGGAGGAGACTCCTGCGAGTCCCTTGAACCGCAAGGCGATCAAACTGGTCAGTCCTAGAGGAGATCAACCCTGGCTGCTCTTTAGAAGGCCAGATACTGAAGATGAAACTCAAATACTTTGGCCACCTAATGAGAAGGAAGGACTCACTGGAGAAGAGCCTAAAGCTGGGAACAATTGAAGGCAAAAAAGAAGGAGGGGACAGCAGAGGATGAGGTGGCTAGATGGAGTCACTGAAGCAGTTGGTGTGAGCTTAAGTGGACTCCGGGGGATGGTGGAGGACAGGAAGGCTTGGAAGAATATTGTCCATGGGGTCGCAATTGGTCGGACATGACTTTGCAACTAACAACTGTATTTTACTTAGCCAAGGAAAATTGAGCTCAAATAATGTACTATAAATGATAACATTAAAAAATGAAAAAAACTCCTATGCACAGCTTAATGGAAAAGAACAATCTCCCATCCTAACCCATCAAATTGTAAGAATAAGATTGTCTAAGCACCATACATGAACACTTGTTCACAAAAAAATTGGCAAACCAATATGGACAAATTTAGTTTGAAAACAAGACATGTTGTCCTTTCAAAAGTCTGTAATATTTTGCCATCAAAATTTTAAAAAAACCTGTTTCCCCCCCCCCCCCCCCCCGCCCCGTTTTGGCTTCTGCAGCTCATCTACCAAATTTAGCATCATAGTGTGAGGGGTAAGAGAACTGTATGGACCTCATGGGCTACATGTTGCCTTCCCCTGCTGCAAAATAACACTTCTGGGAAAACCAGAAATTGATATTTTACCTTAGTGTCCCTCTACCTGCTTCATTCACAGTGTTGGACTTGGTGGACCAGTGTTTGAACTGAAACCACCTGAAGTCTACCCACCATCTTGTACTGATAGCTTGTGGGCTGATAATTGAATTGCTGATTGTGTGTTGTTAATATTTACAGTTATTATTATTAACAGTAGGTACCTTTAAAAAAAGAAATAAAAGAAACTAGAATTCCAACACTAATCTATTTCCCACATATTCTTGGTCCCCTGTAGGTATATTTGTCACATTGGAGCTACTTGAAAGCTGATAATGTGGTGGAAGTAGGTGGAGAGGTGTTTTTCAGAATCAGATTGTACACAGTCTGGTCATAACCACAGTACTACTATCCACAAAGAGGAACCAGGTAGGCCCAGGGTCCTAATCTGACCCCTAAAACAGTGCAGCTAACAGCAGCTACCATGCCTAACCTCTATTCCTGAACTAGAGCTGGTCTACAAGTTAGCTACTTAGCTAGTACCGAAGGTTAGCAGTTGCACTTAGCTAGTACTGATTATCATATATTGTGAGCAATTAGAAGCAAATATATGATTGAGTTAATAAGTAATTGCATTTTTGCATAAATAAGTATTTTATTGGTAAGGTCAATGACATGTTCAGCTCTTTCCTCAAGGACAAGAACTCTTCCTGTACAAACACATTTATGGTTTATTATCAAAGATAAGGTTTAATATTATCAATGTGAACACTATTTACATTTTATAATAACATCATATAACCACCTAAACGTAACTGGTAAAATAGCACTGATGCTGTATTATGGTCCTGTATGCTTTCTTAACCTTCTCCTTACATTTCAATACTCTTTCCAACCTGGAGCTCTCCAGATGTGTTGAACGACAACTCCTATCACTCCCAGTTAATTTGGCCAAAGGTGACTAGGAATGATGGGAGTTGCAGTCTAATACAGTTGGGGAACACCAGGTAGGGCAAGGTATCACTATAATAGGGAACTACCTCAACAGGATAATAGAGGCCCACTAGTGATTTTGAAAGAAGAAATGCCTGGAGAAGACCTCACCAGCTAACAGAAAAACCCTTTGCCGTATGTCTCAGAGGAATAACTATACTGGGGGTGGGGGGAATGAAACGGGGGGGGGGGGAGTGGGTGTGTTTGGAGTGGCCATGTCTGCTTTTGCTTTGGCCAGGGCCAGCCCTGACATGCAGTGTAATGAGGTAGCTGCCAAAGACAGCAGCCGTTCAGACAGGTATGGTGGGGCACTGGCTGTTGGAGGACAAAGTAATGTTTGTCATGAGAACCCCATGACACAAC